AGATAAGGTTGGCCATTTTTTATTATTTCATTTGAGATCCCATCTTCCGCTGACGCCTTGTTATTTTTTAACTGTTTGATCGCTTTTATAATTTCGCTTTCTAGAATTGGTCTGTCGAGTTCAGTGTTATTATCCAAATGGTGTTCCAATCGATATATTTCAGAGTTTATTTCATCGTCTAAATCACTTTTATTTATGTTATACTCAGAGGATGGATTTAGTAGTTTATTAAAATAGGATAACCATTCGTTAGGTGCTACCGAGTCATTAGTGTTATCAGTGTTATGTGTATTTTCATTACCCATTTGGCGCAATTTCGATGGCTCACCTTCAGAGTTTTCAAGTTCAAAGAGCCGGGATGCAGCAGGTGTGGACGAAGCCTTTGTTTGAACGGCCACCATCTTGGTCGCTGTTCGCTTCGACTCACAATCAAACAAGGAAAACGTCTTCAAAAACAAGAAAATAACCAACAAAACTGAATAAGAAATACTCACACACAATCAGTGATACTATATACAAAATGTGGTAGCGTTGAAAAACAAGCACTGTACTCACAAAGGCAGCAAAAGACTAGCCAGTTGGCTGAGATCAGGAGCGTTCAAAAACATGTCCTGCTCCGACCATAGTATAGTATATTTTATTTGACACTAAATAATATATTTAGGTACATTATCTGTGGTCAAAAGACATTAAATATAATAAAACACAAGTACACACACAAAACAAAAGAAAATACATAAAAGACTAAAGTCTAAGTAAAATTACTTGCTGTCAATAAATTTACTAGAACTATTGGCAATGAACCCATCTCTTGAACTTGAAATTTCTGCAAACATTTGTTGTTTTGTTAGTGTAAGGATACTTTCATTATAAATGCTAACTGTATTCAGAAATTCGGTACAAGCATTTGATATTCCAGTATGGATACAGTCTAAAAGTGCATGGATTTCATTGCCAATAGCCTCATTATTTCAACAAAAGTTGGTACTTTGTCTTTCTTTCCTCTGGACGTATCCCTTGATATCTATGTTTTTCAATTGGTAGTGTATGTGCAGATATACTAAAATTGGTGAAGCTGATTCTATGTCGTACATTTTTTACTTGATTCAAATATGGTTCAAATTCATATGTAGGTTTAAACTGAGTGTATGTACGTAATTTATTGTTTTGGGTTGTTTGGACTGTTGGTAGCCAAACATTTTCAACATAGATTTCTTTTAATTTATTTACAGTTGTTGCCCATGTATTACTTTTGATTTTGGTTTCTGAGATGTAAGCACAATGTACTAAGTGACTGCAATTATCAGTGTTGTTTTCAATTCTTTTCTTGTATTTAATTAATTGTGCACATATTTCAGTAATAACAGGATAACTTCCAAGTTCAGCTCTAGAAGCAATATTACTTGAACGCCTTAATGTGAAGTTTTACAGCAGTTGATGACAGAAATCTATCAGTGCAACCATGTGTTGTTTTGATTGCATATTTCTTGGTAGAGTACAATGTACATTGATCTCATCAAGTGGAAGAGTTTACCTCTGACTCCTGCTTTCAGTAGTTTAAACAACATGCCTTCCCACCAAACACTATCAAAAGCATTTTGCAGGTCGACAAAACAAGCATGTAGATATGCTTTATTCCACTTATTGGTATATTTATTAATGAGTGATTTTATGAAAATACTGTCAGTTGTACGATGGTTCTTCCGAAAACCGAACTGCCCATTTTAAATATAGTTTTGGTTGTCCAAATATAATTGTAGCCTGTTGTTGAGAATAATATTAAAAAAATTTGATAGGGCAATTTCCCTATAGTTGTTAACATCTGTAATATTCCAAGCTTTATGCAGTACTAGATAACTAGTGTTCCACTCAATTGGAAACTTGATAAGATCTGGTTGAAAAGTTTCTTGATCGATACTAAGTATTAGTGATGGTATGGAGTTATAGCATCAGGACCAGGTGATATTCCAGACATACATGTATGAATGTTCAAGGTTTGTAATGAAACAATAAAACATGTCTTACCACTATCATAGTGAAAAATGTAAAACATCAAAAATGTACAGAAAATATAGTTCTTCTAATCAGTTATATTGTTCGCATACACATTGTTCTGAGTTGTGAACACTGAAAACATGCAAGAGCAAGATTCTGAATCAGGATCTTGGTATCATGTCACGCTACTTGCGAACCCCAAGTAATGTACCTCTGATATCACCCATACATCACATACATTGTATTGGTCTGTGTCACAGCTGTATATCACCCATACACAGTGTCACAGTGTTAATTATCTGGTACCTTGTTCTGGTGACCCAGAACAAAGTCATTTAGTGCCATTTGGGTTTCAAAGTTCAATGTACTAAAAAAGCAACCGTGTTCAGTGCTAAAGACTCTGATGAATTAACGAGTCTGATTTTTTTTACTTTACCTCACCTGTAATGCATGAATGGTCTTGCTGAACATTCTGTATGTTGACATATGTGACAATTTGGCAAAGGGGTGTCAATAAATATAGGAGAACCCCTCGATCACCAGTAGCTAATGGGGTCCAAAAGGGTATCCGTAGAAAATGTAGCCTCGATTTAAGAATGAAGGGAATCCCTAATACACGTCACTTCCGGAGGTCGCCATGCGCAAGCTGGTGTGCTGATTGAATTACTCGACTAAAGAGTATGTGGGATGTGAAAGATTCGCTGGTTTCAATGATTTTTTCTTAATCAGAAACCCACCGTTACAAGATGAAGGGTGTTTTTATAGTGACCAAATACTGGAGGTCATGGCGTAACTTACTACTACAACGTACACATAACCGAACGTTTGCAGCATTTTCAGCGGTCGATTTCACAAACAATTTGTCTCCTGATGTTTTAAAACGTGGGTCTCCTCCACTATCGAACTGTGCTTTTTCGTTTTGCAAGGAGTATAGTCATTCATATTCAGCATATATAAATGGTGGTACTACATCGGAATTAGCTAAAAGACGCTATTACTCGACCGTACTGTCGAATGGAGGTGGCATAAAGGTCAACGACCCGAGGTCACGTACTTCCTCACTGTGGCATATACATCGCGATATTAGTTTTTTGGGGTTTGGGTCGCCGGAGCACAGTGCATGGAGTAAAGCGGTATCCGAAGCAGAAAAGTTGGTTGGGTACCCTACATCGTTCATGAGTCTACGATGTCTTCTTAGTGATGAACTTTCTAATGTTGCTCTTCAAGTCAGAAAACTTGTAGGCACCAATCACCCATTGTTGAAAACTGCCAGGTATGTTTGTTGTTGTTGTTGTTGTTGGATTCACAGTCAATTCGTCCCAATTCACATTCGTCCCAACACATTCGTCCCACAAGTCGATTCTCTCAATTCACATTCGTCCCACAAGTCGATTCGTCCCAATTCACATTCGTCCCACAAGTCGATTTGTCCCAATTCACATTCGTTCCATTTCACATTCGTCCATTTTTTTTTTACTTTTGGTCAGCGTTACGATTTTGAGCAGGGTCAATTTCTATGCCAACTGTTACTGACACGCTAACTAATAACTCCACGTTGCGTGTACGGTGTATTTGTATTTATTAACTAATAACTTGTACGTTGCATGTACGGTGTATTTGTATTTATTAACTAATAACTCTACGTTGCGTGTACGGTGTATTTGTTTATAACGTCGGCAAAAACAAAATGGTATAATGAACAATTACGCATGCCAGTGCATGACGTGTACGTGAACAGTTCGTTGTTTGGATTTTTTGTGTTTATTTGGCGAGTTAGTAGTGGGCTAACCTTAAATCTGACGAATCGATCGACTTGTGGGACGAATCGACTTTGGGACGAATCAACTTGTGGGACGAATCGACTTTGGAACGAATTAACTTGTGGGACGAATCGACTTGAGACGAATCGACTTGTGGGACAAATCGCCTTGGGACGAATGTGATTTGGGATGAATCGACCGTCCCCCTGTTGTTGTTGTTGTTGTTGTGAAAAGATAATTTCAGATATATTGGTAGCGTGCCTTGTGATTGAATACAAGAAAAGTCGACCTATGAAAGAAGTGGACAAGAGGGTGATGTGTGCCAGGCCGGAAATGGGCCAATATATTCATTGTTCATTAAAAATGATAATGATAATAAAGTTTTATTACATCGTAATGAAATTACAAATTCATTATAGGGTGAAAGTGATAAAAGAAAGGTAACAAGCCAGAAACAAAAACCCATAAGGCAGTAAAAATTAATGCAGTTTGTGTTTTTCAAAATACATTTTCAGATACTGTGTCACATGTCTAATTAGTTTAGGATGGTTAGTATTATCCATAATAATGAATTTATTGATATTACTTCCAGATTGGAAAGTGGGAATTTTTTTGGGTAAATTCAGAGTACATCGTGTACCTTTCATCAGTGTAATAGCTACATGTACAGTCTGTAATGACAATTCACAGTTGATTCGTCCCATTTCACATTCGTCCCAATTCACATTTGTCCCATTTTTTTAAATTTTTGGTCAGCATTACGATCTTGAGCAGGATCAATTTTTATGTTTGTGTGTCAAGACATTGCCGTGCTGTTAAATATGCTATGTCTTGTCGGTTTACGTTGCAGGTTCGACCAACTAGTGCTGTTACTGACATGCTAACTATCGGCAATAACTAATAACTCCACGTTGCGTGTATGGTGTATTTGTATTTATTAACTAATATCTTCTACGTTGCATGCATTTGTATGAATGCTATGAATTATACATGTAGGTAACAGATGTAACTTGCATTTCAATTTCTTTTGAGCATTCCACCATTCGCTACTTCTCACTTTCATTTTATTGACTCCCGTGTGCGAAGCACACAATGGGAGTTTTTGCAGTTACCCTGTCTGTATGTGTGTGTGTGTCTGTTCGTTCCACTGATATCTCATGAACCGTATGTTGGTTTTTAATGAAACTTGGTGTGTAGATGCTTTGGGCTAATGCGCAGATTTGATTAAGTTTTGGTTGAAATCCATGCATAATAATTACCTGATTTGCGTGATAATTAGCTAATTTTTAGCTGTTCCTTGACATTTT